GGAACCAGAGCCCCGGGTCAGTCCAAGCCAGAAATCAGAAGGTGGAACTGAGGGTCAGAGCTGGGTTACTTGCAGTGTGGCAAGGCAAGGCTGGGAACACCAAGTCGCAGGACTTATCACAGCCATCGGCAAATACCTGGCGCAGCCACTATACTGTTGCTAAGTTTAAGAGCCCATCTGTTGCCCCTTTTACCAATTAGGTGTAGCTAATCAGGTGGTCTACTACAGGCCCCCTGTGCTCACTAGGTTGCCTGGAGACTGGCTCTGCAGCAAACCTTGACTCCTGACACAGCCCACATCTTTGAAGCAATTCATTTTTGCTGGTCGCTCAAGGCAGGTTCATGGTAAGACTGCACTTTTCTGTGGAAAATAACGATAGCTGCATGCTCTGTGGATTGCAGGGTCACTCAAGGATAGTTTGTTTGCAGTCATATAGCATCTGCAACAATACATCTCTCTCTCTCTCACACACACGCAGAACTTTATTTACGTGTGTGCGCATGCTTTTTATCAGACAAGCAACGCTGACTCATGCAAATCCTGAGCATACTTCCAGCTGGGCAGCCACTGGCAGATCGACAGTTAAGACATTCAAATTCAAACTGCCAGAGAAGATCTTTGCAGCTTCTCTTTTTTCAGACTGCGGGAGCTGCAATCACGTCACTAGGCTGGGCACCAGCCAAAGCCAGTATGTATTTTAAGAGCACTGTATCTGCATGTACAGAACTACTAACTGTTCCAGCAAATATGACCTGTTCCGTTCATGCAAGGACCTCCATGGCCATGTTCCTGCACCACGTAAAACTCAACTCCAGACAACAGGCCCTTGGACTAGAATAAACCACCCTAAACAAATGCCTTTGCAGAGCTCTCGTGCTACTTACCATCCTTGTAATCACACGCGCAGGAGTGGAAGCGCATTCACCTGCCGTGCAGCCATGCCTTTCTCCAAGACAGCAGTGTGTTATTCATGTCTAGGTCTTGGACCAAGAGCTTGCCCAAGGCGCTGCTGATCGACAGCCCTGGAGTTCTTGCTTTAGTCACAGACCAGGTGCCACAGGCTTAGCCACGTTACAGGGCAGGGTGGATGCAGCTCATGCTGGCACGGTCACTAAGGTCCCTTACTCTGTGATTAAGCAGAGTAGTTTGGTCTGCTGGGTTGCCAGCCCTGCCCTACAAGCCTGGCTTGCAGGGAAGAGGGCAGAGGAGAGGGCATTTGCCCCCACAAAGGAAAAGAGCTGCCTTGATGGAAAAATTCACCACAGCGAGCAGTTTGAGGAAAGGGATCAAACACAAGGTGAATGAGGGAGGAATTGTAGGGGGCATACGCTTGGCTTCATGAATGGGACAAAATGGCCCCCTTCAGTCATCTTATAGTTAACCACACGTGGCGTCTGCCATAGCTCGGAGAAGGTCCAGTGAACTGTAAGGCAGCAGCAGGGGAAGAGCACTACATGGGGCAAACTCTTTTTATAGGTTACGCTCTCTGCATCCCAAGGCACTTAAGAGTTACAGGGAGAAAAGGATGCAGACAGAATGGCTATGCAGCAGCTTCTAATGGCCCTTATGCTACCCAGGAGACATTACTGCCCATTCAGCCACCTCCCACTTTCCAGACATAACACAAAGACCTTCCAGACCTCACTCCATTTTAAAATCCGATCTAAATCCGAGCACCTACCGCAGACATGGGGTAGTCCGTATTCAGTAAGGGACAGCCTAGAGAGCCCCCTTTCCAGAGAGGAGAGGAGAGGAGAGGAGAGATGTTCCCATCCCTCTGGGGACACAGGTAAACTACCCACCACCACTACAACATCTGGGCATGAGCTCACACTTCCTGCTTTCGAACCAGGACTCTCCCCGCAGAGTGCTCCAGCTGACCGGAAACACACTGTTCCAGAGCAGACGCCTCACTGCATTTCTTCTCTGGCCTTGACTCTCACTCCCCAGCACCAGCCAGCATCTACCCGCTGCTGCAGGGCAGGGCATGCGGCAGGCTGAGCCAGCACCTGCCTTTCCCTCTCCCTCTTGCAGGGGGATCCAAGGACAGCGCTGCAGGAAAACACCTCCCTTAATCCACAAGGTCAGTGAGAAAGGAAAAACACCATTCAAACCCTACAGAGCTTCAAAGCTCACCCAGGGCTGGGCAGTGAGAGAATCAAGCAGGGACCATTCACGTTTCTCATGCAGGCAGGACCAGCTCTGGCTCCCCAAGAGCCTATTCATGCTCTAGGCTGTCACCTTGGCTGGGGATCAGAGTTGGTTGTGAAGGAGCTTTGCCAGCAGCAAAGACCGCACATGGTGCTTTTCCCCAGCACTGCAAGGGAAACAGGAAGAGACAGGGGAGGGAGGGGCAACGTGCACCCACTCAGCACGACAGCTCGGCCTTCGTGTTCGGTGGTCTGGGACCTTTTATTTGAATGCAACAGATTAGGCCTGAGTGGCAGCTTCCGTACTTTATTGATTCCTAGAGGCATCTAATTGGGCGCATCGCCCAGTACAGCCTGAGAGTCCCCTGGTGCGATCCATTACTGCAGTGCCTTCCATGACACTGGGTCAAGGCAGCTACTCATCACTTTAGTGGGGTGTGTGTGTGTGTGTGTTATATCTGCAATATTTCACAATGAAGATGAAGAGGGGCTGGTAGCACTGGCTATTGCCAGGCACACAGTGGGAGTAGGGGCTCTCCCAACTCCCCATCGTGCTCTAACACAGCAGAGTCTTAAGTTAGATCCCTGCTGGCTATCCTAGTCCTGGGCCTCTCTCAAGCAGAGCCTGCCAAATCACCCCCCAAGTGCCTGGTGTTTTAGTGATGGGGGTAAATGCAAGGCAATTCGTAGCTGAGACCATATGCAACTGGATTCTCATGCCACCTAGACCAGTACCCAACCAAGCTATCCAGAGCTAGGGGAGTAACTGCACCAGCTATTTCACAGACTCCAAGACTGTTTGGGTTGGAATAGAAAGGTTGCAGCTAACTGCAGAAATGGAGCTTTCCTAAATTAATGCAGTGCCCGTCCCTGCCACAGCATGCATACAGGAACAGCAGGAGGAACATGGAGAGGCCTATTAATCCTAACCACAACAACCCCACACACTCACACTCAGCCCCAGCACTGCCCACCTCCTCCCTTATGCAAGGGAACCAGGAGCCTAAGAGAAATCAAAACTGGAAGTCCATTCCCAAAGCTCCTACTACACTGTTGTACTTGACTCCAAATGTAAGCCATGCTAACCAGCCTGTGTACTGCCTGGGGCTGCCTGTCACAAAAAGCCAGACAGTCTTGGGGTGTGTGAAAGATTCAAGGTACAGTCCTTTCCTCTTCTATTCAAAGCTCTAGAGGCTTCATGGGTAGGATCCAGCCTTCCTAATGCTGAAAGAGTCAGCACTAAACATTGATCTGTCAGGATGCTAGGTACATTGAAATGTAGGCTTGCCAGAGGATGCTATTTCTCTGCCGGTCTCAACTGATCACTCTCTGGATCACCTGGTTGAAAAGATACTCCAAGGGTAAATGACTGGCAGCTCCAGGCCATTCTCCCCTCCTTTCAACGTGATCCTTCCAAAGCCTGTGGTTAGCCTCTGGTCCTCAGATAACCCAATGTTAATAGCAAGTTAACAATCTGCAACATCTTGTGCTGTGCAACATCTGGGCTCAGAACCAATGCAATCACAGCTCTGTCTCCACTCCAAGCTTCAGACTTAGCTACTTGGAACAAGGACAGATTAAGGACATATCCTCTCCCTGTTTGTAGATAGCACAGAATAGCTACAGCTACTGAAAAAGAAACTTAAAATCTAAGGAAAAAACCCATGATGAGTAATTACAGGACTATTGTCGGTGAATCATATGGATCCTCAAGTATGAACATTAACTTGTGATTTAATGACCCCAGAACAACCAAAAAGTCACATACATAAAAGATATAATGGACCAGACCCTCAGCGGGGGTAAATCAGCATGGCTCCATTGACATCAATGAGCTACCCTGATTACACTGTCTGAGAATCTGGCCTGGTACATTATGTGGAGCTGATAAATCAAAGAATTGGTAATCGGATATAGAGCTTTTCAGCTGTAGGTCTCTAGTGCAAATCCAACTCAGGTAGCTAGTGCTCAAGAGCTGTACCCTATACATGACAATTGTTTATTGGCTCGTGTGAAACAGGTATCTAATTCCTAGGGGACAAGCCTCCACACCACAGAAGTCCCTACCACAGATTGCTCTCTTATCAGCAGGGTCAGAGAGGTCAAGGACTGAATGGGCCACAGATCCTGAACTGTCCCCTGGGCTGGAGCAGAGATATCTTGGCAAAACGAGCAGTAGCTATTCAATGGATACAGGACTTCAGACTTCATGGCTATCAACCTGGCACCTTTCCCTGGCACTGAATTCACATGAACAAACATTAAATTAAGCCTGTTTTATTGACTTATGACCTTTACATGCAGGTGAAGTAGCAAATACCAATATTGGAGAATCAAAATTCACTCCCACTCCCAGCTGCCAAATATCTTCAAAGAAATCAAACCCCACAAGATTGCAAAGCCACGAGCTGGTGCTAAGCTTGGGGCCTTCGACCATCCAGAACTCGATTCACCACCCGCTCAGAATATAGTCATTGCAAAGGTGGGAGGGGCAGAGGAGCGTCCAATAAGGGGTTGAGAAGGAGGGACCATCCCAGCGGTTACGTGGCCAGTTGCTGAGGCTATGTTCCTGTGCAGACGCTTTCTGTGGAAATTCTGGCTACAGGAACCCTGGCTGAGATTTGGAACTATTTCTGGGAGCTTCAATAAAACCTTCCAGGGAGGGGCCTTTTGCTTTCAGTTCTGTACACAGCGCACACAGAATGCTAGTGCTGGCTGAACCGGTTCAAAGATGAATCCCATTCAGAACAGCAGGTTGCCAGGTTATTCAGAGCAGACCAGTCCCAGTGAGCCCACATCCTAGCACAAATCCCATTCCAGCACTGCCAGTGGTGCAAGCCACCCACTCACCCATCTTTGGAGAGATGATACCGGAAGAAGTCATTGGCCGCTAGCTTGATGGCCTTTTCTGGTGTCACTAGAGTCAGGTTCACCGCAGCCCCTGGGAAAGAAACAAAGGAAAGGAACACTGTAGCAGCAGGAAAGACTTGTTATCTGCACACATTCAGGAGCGCAGTGGGTAAGCTTTAGTGGAGTTTAAGTCAAAACCGGGCTAGGAACAAGACGGGAAAAGGTTTCAAAAGTGCCCAAGGGATTTAGACACACAAATGCCACTGAAAGTCAACGTTGGGCTCTTTTGAAAACCTCCCCTGAAGCGTCCCATTTCCACTTTAAACAAGCTTTTTATAATTTCCATGGCATTGGTGCAGCCCACAAATTCAAATCCCACTGAAGTCAAAGGAAAGACTCCCACTGATTCCAGCAGGCTTTGGATCAGGCCCCCAAGGAGGAAGTACACATTTTATGAGCCCTGCAGGCATCCTGTTAATGCTGTTTCCCAGCTGGGAAGCATCAAGCCCCCCAGAACAAGACTGTCACACTTAATTTGCCTGCAAGTCAGGTAACATATATAGGCCAGAGGCTGTGAAAGGCTCAGGGCCTGATCCAAAGCCCATTGAAGTCAATAGGAGTCTCTCCGGAGACTTCAGTGGCTTTAGATCAGGCCCTTGGCTAGGCAATTGTACTTCTATTTCCTTGTCCTCAGCGTCATCCTTCCAGCAGCCTCCCACTGGCTGCTTTGCATAGTGCTTCACTCCTTGTCTGTAAGGCATCACATCAGAGCCCCCGGACCAGTCCCAACCGGAGCAAGGAGACTGCCTCCCTCCGCGCTGGTATGTAAACAGCGCTTCACACCCACCGTACTTTTAAGTACTCTATTGTTGAGAGCAACAAATGGCAAATCCCTATATTGTGGCTGCCACAATGAATGGCCTGCCCTGCTCTGTCCTCAGACCGACAGCTATGGAGACCATTAAAATGAGTGAAACACAGGGGCACCCTAACTGTATTTAAGGGAAAGGGAAAACAAAACAATTGCTGCTCCCTGGCTCTGAGCAAAAAGTTGTAATGTTTGGTTCATTGCTTCAGAGCGTTGAGCCTCCTAGAGACCTGTGTGTCAGAAGGGACCTCCAAGGGTCATGTTGTCCATTCCCATCCTGCACCAGGGCAGGATCGATCCCTAAGCCACCCTCAAGAGAGGGCACCCAGTTTAGGCCATCAAGCTCTCTGGCATCCACAATACTTGGGAAACGTCTCTTTCATTCACAAGGCACTTTACGCAACAAAGCCCTACCGCATGGCTGTGAGAAAGTGTTATCCCCATTTTAGGGATGGGGCGCCCAGGCAGAGAAAGGTTAAGGCCTATATTTTCAAAAGGCTCCACGGATCTCACGTGCCCAACCTGACATAACTCCTGATTTTCATAGGGAATGAGCACCCAGAAATTCATCCAGAGTCCAGGAGAGCTGTAGGTGCTCAGCACCTCTAAAAATTTGGCCTCACATTTCTCAGGATGGGCACCCAAAATCTGCAGGCACTTTTGGAAAATGGAAGCCCTAAAGGACTTGCCCAAGGTCACAGAGTGAACCAGTGTCAGAGCTGGGACCAGAACACTGGAATCCCTAGCTCCACGTCCTGTGGTCTGACAACACCTCTCCCCACACTGTGGAAAATCATCCTTGTAAGCAAAGAGAGCCTCCACTGGTCCCTGTCAGATAGGATGGGCCTACACGGCTCTCTCCAGCTACCACGAGTCTATGTTGGCTGGCAAAATCTCAAACACCTTCCTGGTATGAGACAGACAGATCAATCTCTTCAATTCACCTCATCAATGAGCAACCATCAGATGGCAGTAACTTCCACAAGCATTACATCCAGGAGATCCTTTGCTGAGTCACACACTATCTTACTGGGACTCTTGCAACCTCCTTGCAAGGCCAGATATTGGTTCGGTTTCAAAAGGTTTCCTAAAATGTTCCTTCTCCAGGGGCCTGAGTGTGAGATCAATAATCGTAGACTCGACCCTCTGGTGCCACACACCTGACCCCTACCACTGACGCACAAAAGTTTTCTCTTGGATTTCCCTACTGCCACTCCCCAGAGTAAATAGCCAGCACGTTCACAAGGCCCCATTCTCAGATGTGTGCGCCTAAGGTAAATTCCTATTCGAGTGCCCAAATACAAGAGCTGGATAATTAACCAAGTTAAACACACACACACACACGCTGAGTGTTCAGGGGAGATTCTTGCAGCAGAGAAATACACCACCTCATCCCCCACCCTATGTCACTAAATAACGTTACCTAGGTAAAAGTAAGAAAACCAAATATCCACCTCCCAATTTAATATCTATGCAGATGCTTCGGGGGGGGGGGGGAAAAGCTAATGACACCAGAAGGTGGGAAATGGGAGAGTGCTGACAAACATGGAAGCCCTCAAACTAATGAGGAAGCTTTCAGAGCAATATTATCTCCCAATCTCAAATCAATTGGAAGAAAACCCCCACTACATGTAAAAATTAATAGACCTAGGGTTTCTGCTAAACCTTTGACATTTTCAGCAAGCTGCTTAAGAGAGTATAGATAATCCTTGTCCTCGGTAATCCACAAGAGCTTCCAAATCACCACAGGAGGAAGAAATGGAGGACTGCAGCAATCTCTACAGTACTCAAATGTGCCATCCCCCCAAAAAAAAATATTTTGCACATCCCAAATACACAGATGTTTTTTTCTAACCCAAGTTCACTTGTAGGAGCTCTCCATGGACTATAAATAAAGCCACAGGATCTCTAAGCTCAGATATAACTATGCCTGCACTGCATAGTAAACCAGGGTTTGTGTGACCTGTGCTTGCAAACCCATTCTTTCCAAGCTCACCTTTGAGCATCCACACCTCATACCCATGCCAGCACGTCCATGCAGGGGTACACAGACAAGCACACAGGCAAGCCACTCTAGGGATTAGTTCATGGTGTACTGTGGAAAAACTTGACAGCAGAGGATTGGGAGGCAGGATAAACTGCTACCATAAAACAAAAAGGTTTTAAAAGAGGTGGGAAATCCCATAAACTTCAACATGCAAACAAGAGTAACTGCCCAACCCTTTCGTAGCCCTAATAAATCTTTTATGTGGGCCTTCCGTTTACAAAATCCTCCAGGCCTTGTTATAAAATATATTTCATCATAAAATGCTGTGTCCCAGCAGCAACCTGCAAAGTGCTCCAGAGGTTGAATTGCCATTTATTTATTTATTTTAAATAATCACTGATCCAGGATCAAGGCTTAGAAATATACTGGTCCTGAAAAACGTCTGTATTAGTCCTAAGAGTATCTAGCCCTCTCAGGTCATTAGGCACAATCGTACAAAGCAGTGGTTTCCAGAGCTAGAAAAGAGAGACAGTGGCTATTAAAATCAAATCCCAAGGGAAGCGACGCATAAGAAAGCATGATGGTAATCGGAACGATGGGTATTTCAGTCTGAGCTCTCATGATTTGCCAGAGTTAAAAATTAATACTGTAAACCATTGAACAGCTGAGATTCCCACAACGGCCCTAATGCCCACATGACCGTGACTCGGTAGTTACATACCTCAAGTTTTATGACCAGAAAGAAACAGAACTGAGCAAGAGGTACGTAAATCCAGCTCAGCTTTCACGCCAGCAGTGTTATTTGCGTAGGCATGTTATACTGGAGTGGCCTTGCTTTGGATTCATATTTTGGGAAGTCAGATTCTGCTGCATGCAGATGTGATGTGAATGCAACAAGGTGAGAGATCTTGGATGAAGTGGAACATCTGGAGACCTTCCAACAAGGAAAATTAAGGGTAAAAAATAAACTCAAACCAGCCTGGTACTGCAGAACCAATACATTAAGTGCAGCTGGATGATCCAGTGAGGTCAGAAGAGAGTGGAGTGTTGCCATACAGACACACCTCTGCTGCATTCTCCTTGGGAAGGGAGAGGGCAGGAGGCAGGCAATATAAAAATAGCCACCAAGAATATTAATAGCATACGTTAAGGCAAAATTTTTTGGCCATGACCTCAGCAGCCCGGAATAGTTCTGGCAGGTATCGTGTGAACCAGGGGACACCGCAGAGGGTATTCTTAGCAGAAGTCCCAGAAGGCTGTCCGGTTTGTGTGCGGAGGACTGAAGCACTATTGTCATGCTGCAGTCTGGAGACAGCTTGGCACAGCGACAGCATCATGCTCAAAAGCCAAAGTGACTCAGGAACAGAGCAGGCTGGGAGGCGCAGCTTCGCTCTGTTAGTCCCTTGGCATCCACGGGCTAATCGGACTGGCTGCCAGGAATTCTACCGGGACCCAAAGAAGGCCATGTTTTAGAGTGCATGCGAGCAAGTGGAATCCTACCTTCCTTTTTGTTACAGTGAAGGACATGTGTAACAAACCAAATCAGTAGGCTTGGATCAGGCCATCGGACCCCTTTAGAAAACGTTGGGTTCTCCTTGTAACAGGTTACACAGTTACTCTTCTGGGTCAGAGAAGTGCACAGAGCACATCTGTCCTGTGATAGATCACATGGAAAGTGCTCTGCTAAGAAAGGCTCCTCTTACCTCTCTAGCTGTCTTCGGTACTTTTATGCCCCCACCCCCATACATCACAATCTTCAGTGCACTTACCCTCCCAACACCTCGGCGTGGTAGAGTGCAGTGCTCTTATCCCTGTATTACAGATGGGGAATGGAAGCACAGAGACACGTAGGGTATGTCTACATCACAGCAGCACAGCTGTGACATGACAGCTGTGTCACTGTAGTGTAGATGCTTCTTGTTAGAGTGACCAGATAGCAACTGTGAAAAAACGGGACAGGGGGTAAGGGGTAATAGGCACCTAGTCCCCAAAAATGCGACTGTCCCTTTAAAAACAGGACATCTGGTCACCCTACTTCTTGCAGAAGCAGTTTTTCCATCACTGTAGTTAATCCACCCGTCTGAGAGGCAGTAGCTGGGAGAAGAATTCTTCCATCGAGCCAGCTGCGTCTACACCAGGGGACACGTCAACCTGCGTCACACAGGGTGTGAAGTTTTTCACAGCCCTGAATGATGTAGCTAGGTTGATCTATGTTTTAGGTGTAGGTCAGGCCCCGGTGACTTGCTCAAAGTCACCAAAGAAACAACCGCCGCAGGAACGCAGCCCAGACGCTGCCGTCATGAGATTTGTCCTGTTGGTAGAGCTGGATTGACGCATTGTTTAAGTCAGCAAAGCCACCTGTCAGAGCTCCTGGTCATCCTGCAGCTCCCGTTTTTTCTACTACATAGGACCCTGCCTCTCAGCCAGGGACTGAGAGGCACCAGCAGTAAACACCATGCTTTTGAGCACAGCTGGATGTGGCAGGCTGGACGATTTAGGGATTGGTAAAGAGAGAACATGGAGCCTTTTGCCCCTAGATCACTGGCTCAGATATAACTCAGATTGGTAGTAACAGGAGTCCACCTACTGTGCTGGCTGCTCCTACACATGCAGGAGGGGGTTAGTAGGGCATTTGGGGTTTGGAACAAGGGACTAGATTGCTCTAACATGGTGCAGGGGAATGTAAAGCTATTGGACACTCCTTGCCCTCTTTCAGTTGTTTCCACTAAGGTTGAATTCACCCCTTAACAGAGGTAGCAATGAGCTCCCAGCTGCGCTGACCATGCGTCATCCATGGCCACATTGCTCCCGTGCAAACCCAAAACAGAGGGGGAAAGCTGCAGCCACTTAGCAACCCCTCTGCCTCCCCACTTCCACCCAGTGAACACTCTGCCACTGGGGGCCTAGAGCATGGCTATCAGTGGCCAAAACCAGACTAGATTCTAGGGAAAGTTTGGGCCGGTATGTTTCTGCATGGGTTTGATAGGATTACGATGACTTCTGCATGTTTTTACATCTGACAAAAAATACACAATTTTGATAGAGCTGGATCCAGTTAGCTCTGACACCACCCCACTTGCTGCAATGTATTTATCAAGGATAAAAAGCACCCTAGAAATTCAGCCCTTGAAGATGTGAATGTCATTCGCTTTGGAATATTTCTGTAAGATCAAAGTTGCTAAGGTTCTGTTATGTTAACAGCCTCACTGTCTAGGCACTGCTCCCAAAGCCACCACCGCAATCAGCCAATCCGTAACCAGAATCCACCCTGCCGCCCCCTTTTCCTCCCATTAACAACCTGGGCCAGAGAAGGCTGCTCTCAGCAGCCAATCCACTGTTCCCATTATATCAAACCACAGTATTCCTGTTTCCCTGGTAACCTAACAAAGAACTGGCAAGATACAGCATGCCCGGGGAGCCACAAATCGAAGATCTCTGGAGTCCCACTAAAAAAAGGGAGCGAGGATTCATTTAATCAAGTAATCCGAGAACCTGTTCTTTATCTGTACCAGTGAATAGGTACTATGAGGATTGCAAATATTTCTGAGGTATTTATATAGCACCATATACTTGCAGCTAGATACCACAGTTACAGAGTTTAAGGCCACCAGGTCATCTAGTCCAGTGACTGGTGACCCTTTTCACATAGAAAGCCTCTGAGTGTGACCCCCCCCTTATAAATTAAAAACACTTTATATATTTAACACCATTATAAATGCTGGAGGCAAAGCAGGATTTGGGGTGGAGGCTGACAGCTCGCGACCCCCCATGTAAGAACGTTGTGACCCCCTGAGGGGTCCTGACCTCCAATTTGAGAGCCCCCAATCTGAGCTCCTGCACATCACAGGCCACCAACACCACCCAGGACTTGTACATGAAACCCCACAGCCAGAATTAGAGCGAAGTGTTATCGCGCACAGGAGACTAAGCTATTATGTGCCACAGGCGGAGAACGGAAGGGACCGAGGATCAAAAGAAGAAACGATTGGGATATACTCGCTTTCTTTGTAAAATGCTCTGAGACCTATTGATGGAAAGCATTACAAGAGAGCTAGGTATTATTTGTATTGATAATGAGACTAGCCAGGAGTTATAACAGCAAATATAACAAAACAAAGGCTTAGGAAGGAATATAAACCTGTTTCTGGACACAAACTAACCTCTCAATTTATCGGCGTTAAGAGGAATTTTCCCTCCGGACATATTACCCCATAACTCCCTGCACCTTCCCAGGGCCGTCCTTACCCATACGCAAAGTACACAGCTGCGTAGGGCACCAGGAAATTTGGGGCACCAAATTTGCTGGTGCCCTGCACAGCTGTGTGTTGCTTGAGCCCCTGCTCCAGCTCTTCCCCAGGGCCCGCCCCTGCTCTGCCCCAGCCCTGCCTCTTCCCACCCCAGCCCTGCCCCCACAGCCCCCGCTCCACCCCAGCCGTGCCCCCACTCCCCTGAGGACTCCAGCAGGGGTTGGGCCTGCACTCACCGGCGGCGGTAAGTGGAGCGACCCGGCCCCAGCCTGCTCCGCTCCACCGGCGGGTGCTGGGGGCGATTCCCCCCTCCCCCCAAGCCTGGGAGCCAGGGGAGCAGAGCAGGCTGGGGCCGGGTCACTCCACTTCCCGCAGGAAGTGGCCAGCCCCCTTCCCCCTGTCGGCCTGGGGCCAGCCCCAACCCCGCAGAGGCCGGGGGGCTGCGTAGGGCACCAGAATAGCTAGGGACGGCCCTGCACCTTCCTCTGAAGGATCTGGCACTGGCCACAAACACAGACAGGGTACTGGACTGGGTGAAGCATGGGGTCTAGCCAGCCTGGCAATACCTGTGTTTCTGTATATTGAGCCCTCGGTTTTTAGGTGAGATTTTTCAAGGTTTTTCAACCAGTTCAGGACACCCCTAATACCTCACTCCATAAAGAGAGGCAAGTGGCTTTGGTTTTATTTCACCTGCGGTCTCAACAGCCTTTTCAGGCCAGGATGGAGGAGTCAGATGCTGCACTTCTGCCCTGCCTCCAGCCCTTACCTCTGTACATGCCGAAGTAACCTTCCGACCGGATTGTCTTAATAAGGCAGTCAGACCTGCAAACAAGAGACAGAGATAAAACCTCAGGAGTGCAAAGGTGGAGAGGGAAGAATCTAATCAAGCGATTTTCATCTACAGTTTGTCAGCCGAAGTCCAGGAAGAGGTGGAAACAGCGTTAGCCACTGACACCATCGTTGTGAGAGCTCAGGAGTACAGCTGTCCTTGGCACAAAGGGGCTCTGAAATACCGGCTCACCCCATGCACAGAGAACAAACTTGCTTTCCACATTCTCCAAAAGGGAAGAATGTTAATTGGAGGAGCTGCTCGTTAACCAGATGGGAGCCCCAAAACAATAGCACAACATGTTTCAAGTGATCAGCCCTGATCAAGGAAGGGAAATAAAGAGCTGGGTTTGAAACTGAAGTTTTGCACAGCCACCCTAACCTGCCCTGTCATTTTAAGGAACTCAGGATGTTGGGGGCTGTTTTAAACTAGTGGAAAATTACTGCATTGGGCCCAATCCAATGCCTAATAAAGTCAATGGAAAGAATCCCATTGTCTACAGTGGACTTTGGATCAGACCCATATGCACTTATTTATACCAGACCCGCTTTGTAAGCGAAAACTGCATAACTCGGTCATATCTTGTTTCCCCAATAACACAAGATCCACACACACACTGTGACCTGAACCCAAAAAGCCTCCCAGGCTCCCTGTTAAGAACAATGCAACGTCTCCTGCTGCCTCTGAAAATCAATGGCTATTTGGTCACTGACTTCAGCAGGAGCAGAGCCAGACCCCAAACTTCCACTGGGTGGATCTCTGGGATCTGAAAAGGGTCACCTTCTGCGCTATCTCGAAAGAACTTGGAAAACCATAAACCGACTAACACTCACTACCCCTCTGTGCGACAAGCCAGTATTAACAAGGGACAATACTATCCCATCCACAGCTTCATGACCCCTTCCCAGTAAGTCAGACTGGCAAGGATACCCAAAGCATTAGACAGTGGCAGGTGTAAATGTGGTACTGGTGAGTTTAAATGTCACTCTGTGTTTATTTCAAGGCTGAACAAATAAGTCACCTGCGTGCGTTCAGAGCCCCACTGTGCTAGGCGCTGCATGCACACACAACAGGCAGCCTCTGTCACAAAGAGCTTGTCATGAGAATAGATGAAGCAAAGGAGATATTGTTATCCTTATTTTACTGCTGGGAAACCGAGGCCGGGGGAGATTAAATGGCAATTTCACAAGGGCAGTCTGTAGGAGAGCAGAGAATTGAACCCAACTCGAGTCACAGGCCAACGTCTTGACCATAACCCCGGCCTCCCTTACAGCTCTGGTGCAAAAGAATGCACTGCTGCTAGGGGTGCAAAAATTAATATAATTCAAGACACACAAATAAAAATGCTCCCAGCAGGGACCTTACCTGTGGGGTTTCAGCCTGGGCTAGTTAATTTTTAATGTTTTATTTATTTATTTGTTTTAAATACAGCTTCTTTTGATGGCTGATTTTAGGAGAGTTAAACTCCTAGAAATGCTGATGTCACCATAAATGTGGGGGAGAGGGGGGGGCAGGGTGAAGGAAAGTTGAGATCCCACCCAGCCAGTACTTACATGCTGGTGTACATCCGCTGGCCATTTTGCTGGTTCTGCAGGCGAGTTTTCGCCAAGTCAATGGGAAATACACAAGTGACTCCAATCAGCCCAGCTATCCCTCCATTGATCAGCTTGGCAGGCAAACTGCAAGGGAAAAAAAAACAAAAACACACAGATGCATTGGCAACAAGATATAAAAAGGGAAAGAGGAATAAAGAACCACGACCTTCAACAGGAGTGCTATGAGGTGAAATAAACCAAGCTTCCCACAAGCAAATAATCATAATATATTGCGCTTGGTGCTTTCCACCTAACACACAAAGTGATCTGCTGGGGTATAATTTGTCTCATTTTACAGATGGGGAATCTGAGGCACAGAATCCAAGCTCAAACAGAGAATCAAGAGTGCCTAGGTCCCACGCGCAAGGCACATTGCAATGCTCTAGCCACTAAAAAAGAATGAGGGGGATGGTTTAAGGCATTTTCAGCAGTCTTATTGTGACCACTACCTGCAGTACAGTACTGGGATCCTTCCAGCTCCACAGGGGAAGGCTGGCCTTGTGGTTGAGGCCCAGAGTGGGATTCTGAAGAGCTAGATTCAATACTCTGCTCTGCCACAGACTCCTTATAGAACCTTGGGCAAGTCATTTAATCTCTCTGTTCCTCAGTTCCCCATCTGTCAGCTAGGAAGGATGATCATCCCCACTTCCTACTCTTTATCCCTCGTTGTCTGTTTAGACTGACTCGCGCTCGCCCCATGTGTGTGTATGTGCAGCTCCTAGAACAATGAGGTCCTGATCTCTGCGAAGGCCTCTACATGTTATTGTCATACAAATAATAAACATTGTACACAGCTGCTGTCTGACGCTGCCCCCTTGTGTTACCTCTTGTCGTAGACTGGGGGAAACCTAGTCATGAAATCTAGAACCCACCAGCAGATGGGAGGAGGTAGGAATAGAATCTGTGCCTTCAAAAAAATCAGTTCTCACCCCCACCCTTTCCTCTTTGCCTTCTCATCACTTCTGTCCTCCAGCCCAGAGGGCCGAGCAGAGCTCCCATCCAGGTTTGGTTCTTGTTGCTCCTGACCAGCCAGCAGGTGGCACTGCTGAGCGATATAACACTCCCCACTGAGCTGTGGCTTCAGGTGGTTTGGGATTCATTCAGAAACCCAAAAGGGGCTGAGTGAGGTAAAGCCTTTGCCAGATAAGCAGAAACATGCCCCACTTTTCCAGACAGATGCCACAAAATAAAGCCATGGGCCCAGATTTGGGGAAATCCACCCGCTTTTGGCCCAAGATTCAGTGAAATGTTTGTCCAGGCCCAACAATAGAAACACTGGCAGTGAACGTTACACCGGTTCAGGGTGCAAGGCTTTCTCTAGTCACTCAAGAGCCAATGGCCTGTCAGACCAATGGGGACAGTGTAGACTGACCTTGTTTAAAGGGCCAGATGTCTCACTAACCATCGGGATTAGACATTAATGTTTTACAGCAGCAGAGGAAAGCTGGCGTCAGACACGCACCTAACTAGCGGTTCATGACACGTAGGCCGCTAACTTCATGTGGGGAAGACCAGTGCAGAGGAGCTTCGCTGGCAGGCTGGCCCTACACACTTTCAGAACCAGTAAGACATTTCAGACACGGCTCCTGGACCTGCGGTCAGAGAAGACACTGTGCGTGCACGTGTGTGAGGCATTTGATCCCGGATATATCAGTGGCACAACGGGGAGCGGGACCCCACAGACAGAGGCGAAGCTGAGTGCACATGGATACGGAGGGGTGAGATTACACGTAGCAAAGAAAAACAGAGACAAAAGCAGGCTGTATTGTGCAGGGGGTCTCACAGTTGAGCTTTTTCATCTCTATGCAGCTCTCCCTGGTACCTACATGCATCTCAGTGTTAAAGCCGATCTACCACCCTGCTTAGCGAGAGTCCAGCACTCTTTCAATTACTTGGACCATAAGACATTTAAAAAGTCGATCAATCACTGGTGTCAGAGACAGGGGATGCCTATTAGATCCTCCAAGTGCATTCCGTCCAGCGAAGGGCAAGATACAGACCCTTGAGCGGAGGATATATCCGCTATTAAACTGATGACTAATAAGCACTCCTCATCACAGCTAAACAGCCCGAGAAACAACTGATCCCATGTGGCTCCCTCAGAGGCCTCTCCCTTCTGAAGAATAATGGACACTGCACACAGGATGCCAGCAGGCAGGGCCATCAGTGGTGCACTGCTCTGAACTGAGGAAGTGGCAGAGATAAGTTGCTGGAGTGGAGTGAAGCAAGGGGAGCAGAAAGGCCTATTAACTCCTCAGCTGCTCAGAGGCATTCCCAAGAGCTTAATGATGGATGGCGGCTGCTCGACAGCAGAGACCAGGCTTCAGAAGCTGTCCGGCTACAGATATTCTGGAAGGTCTGCCTCTCTGCTACAGGCCTGATGGAAGCCCTCTGAGATTAAGAAGGCTCAGGGCATGAAAGACAGAGAGAGTATGTGTGTTGGGGGGGCCTCATGGAGCAGAATATAGAAGGAAATAACCTTGGCTTTCTATAGATGCACAGTGACATGACTATAGCTTTTGCAAAGCAAAAATCCCAGGGAGGGATTTCAGGGCTGGAAAGGTGCACACGGCAGGAGAGGTGTCCCAGTAGGAAGAGTCAGACTCCTATATAAAATCCTAAGGCTGTGGTGAGGGGAAAAAATAAGAGTTAGATGCCTCTAGGGCCTGCCTCCTCTACCTTTCGCCCCATAGATCAGACGGGCGAACCCGAGCTATTTCTTGGCACCTTTTGTAAGGGACAACACAGTGCCATTCTGGAAGGGCACTCAATGTCGCCGAGCAGAGCTGCTCTCTTGGGGCCAGATTTTCAGCTGAACCTCAGCCCCCATTCTGCGCTTACATGTACTCTCCTGTACATGTATTATAAATCAGAGGTGCAAACAGAAAATCAATAGTTTGGCATTTTAACTCTCCCATTTGCAAGATGTTCAGCTTCCTTTGTGACTCTGCATCTACAATGTCCAACAGGTGCACCAAAAAAAGCATCCGCAAAGCAGAGGCCCCTTTAAAAGCTCTAGTTTCCTGAGGAAGAGACCCTGTTTCCAATAGCTATATTGGCATCTTCTCAACACTAGTTCTCAGGGTCCTCACACAGGACTCTTCCAGTAGGACCCACCCTGAGGGATGAGGCTAGAGAAAAAGATAGTACCTTAGACAGCTCACCATTACAGGGCATAGCATTAGTGAAGAAAGGCCAAGACACCAGCGAAAGGAAAAAGGGGGAACATTTAAAGCCAGGTGAACTGAGCTCAGCTGATGCAAAGGACATTATTGCCTGGATCTGTTCATGCAGCTAATGCAGGATGGGAGCCTGACACCTAGATGCGATTTCAAAGCATCTGCTGGTAAATCACAATCCCGAGGAGAGTCAGGATTGGGGCTGCCCCAGTTCATCTCTGGAGTAACTCTGGTACTCTGCTGCAATAAGGAGAAATTATCACTAAGAAACCACCAAGTGGGAGTGAGGAACCCAACCCCATAGCTAGCACAGTACAGGGTAGAATATCGGGCACAAGGCATGACAAGTTCACGCATTTCAGTGCGGACCCCAGCACCACCACACAAACATAAAAGAGGACAAACTAGAAGGCCTGGGCATGCTGACACACGCAGAGAGCGTCAGGCCATGCGCAATTTGCAAGCGACAGCTGTGGAAAGCTTCTCCTCACCCCTGTTATTTGAGGGCAGGAAAGCATTGCTCAAGATACCTAAACGAGATAAGTTCATGGAGGATAGGTCCGTCAACGGCTATTAGCCAGGATGAGCGGGGATGGTGTCCCTAGCCTCCGTTTGCCAGACGCTGGGAATGGGCGACAGGGGATGGATCACTTGATGATTACCTACTCTGTGCATTCCCTCGGGGGGCACCTGGCATTGGCCACTGTTGGAAGACAGGATACTGGGCTAGATGGACCTCTGGTCTGACCCAGTGTGGCCGCTCTTATGTTCAATAATAGTTCTCTAGCACCTCCCAGATGAGTCCCTCAAAGCACTTTACACGCACAAATGGATCTAGTTTCACAGCATCCATGTGAGGGGAGTAGTATCCTCCAATTTAAAGATGGGGAAACTGAGGCACAGAGAAGCAGGATGACTTGTGGTTAAGGCAGTGGAACTAAGGTGATCTAGGTTCAATTTCAGGCTCCGCCACGGATTTTCCTTTGTGAACTTGAGCAAGTCACTCAAGTCTCTTTGACTTAGTTCCCTGTCTGTAAAATAGCGGTACTACTACTAATTTCCTCCCACCCTTTGTCTGTCCTGTCTACTTAGGCTGTACTCTCTTCTGGGCAGGCACCACATCTTGCCGTGTGTATGCACAGCCCCTACGGCCTTCGGGAACTCTAAGTGCTACTGTAATATACACAGAGATTAAATACTTGCACAAGTTTGTACAACAAGTGGATCACAGAGGTGGGAACAGACCCATCACCCCCTACGGATTAAAATACTGGACCGGGATATGGGAGAGCTGGGAGAAGTTCCTCATCGCTCTGTACTCCATGTGCACTGCCAGGGACAGAGCGGTGGGCAAAGAAGGCATGCTGTGGGGGCAGCATGCAGAGGAGTACTCCACTCTGTCCAGCGTCCTGCACAGCCACCTCCAGCCTTTTCAGCTGGAGCCACGGCTGAAGTCTGCAGCTCCTGCCATATATGATTCACTCCACTGGGGCTATCAGGCACGTACAGCCATGTGGCCTAGCAGAGATGAATCTGGGCTTGCAATTCAGACTAAGGAAAGAATACATACAAACACCATAGAGCTCCTGAGATCAGTTAATGGACAAAAGACACTGCTCAGGGATTAAACACACAATGATGTTTTCTTGCTGCTGGCTGCTCTGCCTGGGGCCCTTTTCCATCAGCTGTCTCTGCCTTGCAGAAAAAATAGTCCAATCCCGACAAGTTGCAATAAGGGCAGCCCTTTTCCTCGCCCACCGTCAACACAACCAAGTCAAGAGAACACCATTATCTGACCCAGGTTAGCCTCCCCCTCTCTTCACAGGTGCTCTTGGGAGACAATGCATTGGGGAGGTCAGGTGTTAGTGAAGTTCTGGAGCCAGACAGCAGTCACCTTTCGTCAGGAAAAACTTTGTGAACAGCAAGTGTAAACCCCGCCCACACTAACAGAAAGCTACGCCTACCCTTGGGACCATGCTGGTCCAGCCCTCATGGTTCCTGGAAAGCCAATAGCATGATCCACAACAATCAGAAGCATATTCCAGATTTACTTTCCTAAAGGACACAAATATAGCTCCGGGACAAGCCAGGAGCAAGGTTTGCAAGCTGCCTGCTGCGTCCTCAAATCATCTAGTTGTTTTAAACCTGGTAGCATCAGTGCTTGGATACCAAGGTGCCTACAATTAGATGGACAGACTAGGCTTTAGGAAGAGGGAACTAGGTCGCTGCTGTGTATAGTTCAAAAATAGAAAGTGCCAGATCCTCAGCTGGTGCCCGTCGGCACAGCTCCTTTGACATCAGTGTATTGAAGTCAAAGAATGACCCCGATTTAAACCAGCTGTGGAGCTGGCCTTCGAAAGGAGAGGGGAGGTAAAGAGGAGGAATGAATTGGGGGCTGAGGGGTGAACAGATAAAACAAGAAGTGGGGAGTGTAGGGCAGGATGAAAGGAAAAAAGACAATAGAAGGAGGATACAAGAAAGGAGAAAAGAAGGAGAGAGGGGAGTTGTGACACCAAGCACCCCTGTATTCACACGTTACAAACTGCTGTGATAATCTTCGTACAAAATATGCGTTGTGAGGTATCACTTGAAAACTAACAACTTGCTGACCATATAATATTGAGTGATGTATGTACATGATGTGTATTAAGAGAGTTATGAATATATGCTGCAATAATGACTGACGTGTGTAAACCAGGTATGGCAGAGGGAACAAAGGAATGTGTATTTACCTCAACTGCCACATAAGCAGTAAACAGGACCATCAAGACAGCAGGAGGAGGAGATGGTAGGAAACAGAAGAATTTGCATTTGAGTTAATAAGTGGGGGGGAAGAAAGAGCATGGAACTTCCTTTACCACCAGACAGCTTGAATAAACTGTACTTTGGAGAGGTAACCTTCAGAAGAATCCATTGCAAAGGATTACTGGTCTATAAAGACAGGGGGGCTGAACCTCAAGTGATATGCAACTGAATCAACTGATTATACTTTTATACTAGGGTAATATTGTATGCCTTTATATACAGTAATATTGTATGGTCCCAATGTGTCTGTTTATACTAGGGTAATATTGTATGCCTTTATATACAGTAATATTGTATGGTCCCAATGTGTCTGTTTATACTAGGGTAATATTGTATGCCTTTATATACAGTAATATTGTATGGTCCCAATGTGTCTGTTCTGATAGTGAATGACAGACACATTGGTGAATAATAGCACTGTGAAAAGTATGTACTACATAGTGTGCTACATCAGGAAACAAGGATACCTAACGATATTACGTTTTAGAGACTGTATCCAAACAAAGGAAGAAGCAGGTTCTCTCCTAGGCAGGAGGGATCACCCCAGCTATTATCTGTCTCCTATGTAAATCAAGCATGGTGGAATCAAAACAATGGAAGCTCTATTTACATAACGGGGGCGGGGGGGGGGGGGGGGAGAAGGCCACAGGAAGGGAAGAACAGCATGAGGTCAGCCTGCCTCTTGAAACAAAGTCACAGAACTCTGGCAGATAGAAGCAGAGAGACGGAAGCCATCTTTGGCTTCCATCACTAGACAGACACAAGGAAGCAGAGCTCCGGCACGCTGAGAAAGATGGGTCCTTCAGCCAAGGCCGTGTTCAAGTCTCTGGAAAATGAATGAAGGTAGACACCATCTTGAACAAAGCCTGTATCTTGCTAGATTACGTTTTCGATGTGTTTTCACTTTTATTTGCATGTAACCATTTCTAACTTTATTCCTTTTACTTGGCATCACTTCATCTATGTTTTGTTGTAAATACATTTGTTTTTATTTTTACTATCAACCAGCTCAGTGCTGTGTTTAAAGGGAATGGTGTATTTACCACAGTTAAACTAATACGCTGTGATGTGCTTGTGTCTTCAGAGGAACAAATGAACCTTATTATTTCTCTGAACGGTCCAGGAGAGGATCGGGCATTACAGAGCACACAGTTTGGGGAAAATCTGGGACTAATGAGGTTGTTGGGGTCACCCGACAAGCAGTAATTTTAGATTGCATTAACAGAGGCATAGTATGCAAGTCAAGGGACGTGATGGTACTTCTCTACTCGGCGCTGGTTAGGCCTCAGCTGGAGTACAGTGTCCAATTTTGGTCACCAATGTATAGAAAGGATGTAGAGCAGAGGTGGGCAAACGACAGCCCACGGCCCCTTCCCCACTGTCCCCCCTCCCCCACAGCCTCAGGGCACCACGCCGCCGGGCAGCTCAGTGGCAGAGCCACGGTCTGATCCGGTGCTCTGGGTGGCGCGGCTGTAATGCCGCCAGCCACCGGTGCGCCAGGTAAGGGGGCAGGGAGGGTTGTATAGAGGGCAGGGGAGTTGGGGGGTGGTGGGAAGTGGGTGGGGTTGTGGATAGGGGTGGTCAGAGGGCGGGGAACAGGGGGGTTGGATGGGGCACCGGGGGGGCAGTTGGAGGACAGGGAGAAGGGGTGGTTGGATGGGGCAGGGGTTCCAGGGGGCAAGTGAGGAATGAGAGGGAGGTTGGATGGGGCAGCAGGGGGCAGTCAGGGAAGAGGGGTCCAGGGGTGGTCATGGGACAGGGAGTAGGGGGCAGTGGATGGGGTAGGAGTCCCGGGGGGTGGGGGGGCGTCAGGGGACGGGGGTTGGATGGGGCAGGAGTCCCACGGGGCGAGAAGCAGCGAGGGACAAGAAGCAGTGGCAGGGTGGGGGTCGGATAGGAGGTGGAGGCCGGGCCATGCCTGGCTGTTGGCGGAGACACAGCCTCCCCTAACCGGCCCTCCATACAATTTTAGAAACCCGATGTGGCCCTCAGGCCAAAAAAGTTTGTCCGCCCCGATGTAGAGAAACTGGAAAAGATCCAGAGGTAAGCGACAAAGATTATCAAAGGGATGGAAGACAAGCTGTATGAGCAAAGGCGGAAGGAACTGAATATGTTTAGTTTGGAAAAAGAAATTGGGAGAGTGGGGGAATATGACAGCAGTCTTCAGATACTTGAAAGGCTGCCACACACACAAAAAAAAAGACGGAGAAAAGTTGTTCTCTCTTGCCGCAGAGGGCAGGACAAGAGGCAGTGGATTCAAACTGCAGCATAGCAGATTTAGATTAAATCTCAGGGAAGACTTCCTACCTGTAAGAACAGTAGGGCAATGGAACAGATGCCGCAGGAGGTTGTGGAAGCCCCTTCACTGGTGGTTTTCAAATGGAGGCTGGAGAGCCATCTGTCTTGGATGGTTTAGACACAACAAATCCTGCAGCTTGGTGGGAGATTACACTAGATGACCCTTCAGCCCCTTCTAACTCTATGATTCTATGAACCAAGGCTGGTGGAAGCCAGAGTGGGACCATGGGGCTGTAGACAGGCTGCTGGGGTTAGAGCTGCTGAACCAGGGACATCTAGCACACAGTTACTCAGGGCGTGACCTGCATGCCTGTAGGCTTGTTGAGAGCATCCCAGCTTGGGAGCTACAGCAGCAAAGCATTGTAAGGCACCCAGGGTTGCAAGGAAAGTGGTGACACAGCCCCTCACTGGTCTGGATTGCACCCTGAACCCCATCATAGAAGTGGGGAAAGAATCACAGATTTTAAAGGCCGTAAGGGATCATCGGATCATCTAGTCTAACCTCTTGTACAGCAGGTGAGATTCTCTGGCCCACAGTTACTCCTAACAAAAGGAACAGCAAAACTTTTTACCTGATCTGTTTATCAGCCATTTAATTCAGACGTGATCCTGTTCAAAATCAATTTGCTCCTCCTGAATGCTCCTCCTGAATGTCGCTTTTCTTTTTTTTCCTCCCCTCAGTCACTGCCTCTCTGTCCTGGCGAGTGGTTCTCCTGAGAAGGGTGAGAGAGAAACACCAAGGAGACAAGACTGAGAACAGGACTTTACATACCCCACAAAGCCCAAACCTTTGTAGGCAGAATACACAGGCTCCCTCCCCGACCCCGTTCAGGGACTGCCCAGTCTGTACTTGGAGCATAGCCAATGCCTCACACACAGAGAACGACACGTCCGACGACAGAGACTGAGCGAGTGCCTGCATCCATGTCCCTAACCCTGACTCTGGGGAAGTCACTGACCCCGATCCCAGAGACTCCTGCGAGCAGTTCCCAGACACGGATTATTCAGAGAGGAAAGAGGGTTAGTCATATTGTCTCACTCTTATTTTTAAAAGAGGCAAATTTTCCAATGACTTTCCCTCTGCCATGCACAGAAGGAATAGTCAAGAAGCTGCAAGGCTGTGAAATCATCACACCCACCCACCACATGGTCTCTAGCTGGCTGCCAAGAGCATCACGCTCCAGCATATGAGGAAGAATGGCAGCCAGACGCTGCAAGCGCCTTGCAGGGCTTAAAGGGACAGCAGCCTGTTTTGAAGCTGTCTGCTCTTGGGAGCAGGTGAAGGGGGGGGGGGGGATGTCAGACTTCCACACCATCTGGTCTCACAGGGAGGAGCCTGTTCTCTCGATTACGCTGCCCCACAGAGTTACCAGGGAGCTGCTGGAACCCAGCCCATGAAGGAACTCAACCCCAGAAAGGTGGATATTTTGAATATTCAAGAATTAGATTCCTTTAATATTTCTCATTTCTTGCCACCTACTCCTCATCTCTGAAAGCAGCTGGTCCCCAGCTCCCATCTGGTAATGCAGTGCTGGCTCATTGGCAGCTTCCTTTTCAGTTACTTGGGGAGTAGCAACCCATAGGCTGGAAACAAACTCTTTGTCCTCTGTCTTGGCAATGAAATGTGCCACTGGGTTACCCATCAGAGTCCTTTCCACACCCACCCCTTCATAGTCTGTAAGGAGACCTTAAAGCAGTGGTTCTCAGCCAGGGGTACATGTACCCCCAGGGGTATGCAGAGGTCTTCCGGGGGCACATCAACTCATCTAGATATTTGCCTAGTTTTGCAACTGGCTACATAAAAAGCACTACTGAAGTCAATGCAAACTGAAATTTCATTCAAACAATGACTTGTTTATACTGGTCTATATTCTATACACTGAAATGTAAGTACAATATTTATATTCCCATTGATTTATTTTATAATTATGGGGTCAAAATGAGAGTGTCAGCAATTTTTCAGTAATAGAGTGCTGACATGTTTGTATTTGTGTGTCTGATTTTGTAAGCAAGTAGTTTTTAAGTGAGCTGAAATTGGGGGTATGCAAGACAAATCGGACTCCTGTACAGTAGTCTGGAAAGATTGAGAGCCACTGCTTTAAAGGCTAACACTGCATTTTCATGGCCGGGTACAATTTCATGACTAGTGTTTGCGACAACGAGGAATTCACAGAGCTGCAAGCAGCCAGCGACAGTGCACGCAGGCACTGCATAAGATTACACACACACACACACACCCCGATCTGCTAGCACACTTCAGTCTTGACCTGCAATCCCCACTTTCTTCCCGATAGTTCAGCTGGGGGTCCTTCTCGGGCAGAGACTTCTAGCTTCAATGACAGGCATGGTGGTATCTGCACAGCCATCCCCCACGATTAGGCTGAGCCTTCAAATCCATTTGCACTTGAGATCCAGGACTCATCTGAAGCCATCAGAGGCCAGTGCACTAACCCACTGGGGAATGGAGCTCTTTCTAATGTACTCAGCTCTGACTTCATTCACCTGCATGTCTTCTGGGGTTTCTTTTCAGGCAGCCAGTCTCTTCTTCAAAATTAGTGAATGACAAGTGAGAATATACTAAAATCCCTAAAAACTAAGGCCTTGACTACACACAAAACATGTAGCATTTAATTAAAATGGTTGCAATCTCCTTTGGAGACTCATTTTCATTTAGCTTAAACCACTTCTCAGACACTTTAAGCTAAACAGACACAAATCACTCAAACTAAATAAAGTAAGAGTGTATACACACAAAGGGGTTTGCACCAGATTAGCTTCCTACCTTTTGTTAAACTGATACACCTCCATGTAAGCAAACCCTAAACCATGAAAACTCATCGGTAGCAACTACAATAAATAGGGTGTTCCCTTTTATGGATAGAAGAGGTCTGGCCAATTCCACCTCATGCAGCTCTGGTGCCATTACAGCAGCATTAGGTTCACAAGATGCTTTTCAAAATAGGGCTTTTGCGCATAATACATGGTCCCACCTCTGCTGCATACTAGTCAGCTGCTGCCCTCCACCCCAGAGGCAGCTGCATTTCAGATATGCGACACAATATGTACAATAGTTCAACACACAAAACACTGTAATGTTAAATATTTACATTTTAATCGGTCAAGAGGAAAAATGGATGCTCAGGAGACAGCTGACCAAGTAACTTCTTGATCTCCCACGACAGTGGGGATGGTACAAGAGCAAAGATGGTTTTATAGCTAAGGCACTAGACTAGGAATCAGAAAACCTGGGTTCAGGGGGGTGTGGGTGTGGCCAACCTGCAAAGCAGCCACAATTGCAAATTTAAACTCCACCAGTGCACTTTGCTGTATTCCCCAGAATCCCATCATTCATTTTAAAGTATGAAAAAGTTCTATGCCCCTTGGTTGGGAAGATCCGAGCGCTGCGCCTGATTCCAGTTCCTCTAACAGCAGGAATGCTAACTAGCTCATCCAGGCTGGGAAAAAGAGCCACAGGGAGAGGACACCATCCCTGGGAAATTCCACAGGAGGTTAAAACACTCAAAAGGGAAACAGAGGAATAAAACTGAGAACTAAGAAAAATCTGTGTAAAGCACAGGACTCTTCATAACCAACAATGCAAAACAATCAAGTGAAGCTTCTGAAGCAGAGCAAGTGCCCAGACAGACTCCTGGGGCATATTTCAGGGATCCAGGCTCCTGGATTCAGTCTCACCTTCACAGTCAGGACTCATCTACACTTGGAACACTACAGTGCCACTGTAGTGTTTCAGTGTAGACACTACTGACACGGACGGGAGGGCTTCTTCCATCGGTGAAGGTAATCCATCTCCCCGAGAGGCGGGAGCTAGTCAACAGAAGAATGTCGATGGATGCTGCCTAGCATTGTCTACACAGGGACTTACGTCAGCTTAACTACGTTGCTCAGGGGTATGGATTTTTCATGCACCCGAGTGATGTTGCTTGGTCAAGATAACTTTCTGGTATAGACCAGCCCCAAATCCCTGCCCTGCAGCTGGATTGTGTCAAGGAAAGATGGTGCCAAGGAAAGTTTCCCTGAAAACCACCAAATGGCCACTCCAAAATGCTACGGGCCAGCCATGTGAGTCACACCACTGCTGAGACCACTTTCCTGCAGCCCAGGTAACAAAGGGGTTCTGCAAAGAACTGGATGTAAGCAGGGATAGGAAACTGGAAAATCCAAGAACTCCCTACCTGTAACACCAGAGAAAGAGTGGGGGAGATCATCTCTCTTGCCTCAAATGGGAGAGAGGAGTGTACCATTCAGCAAGCAGAGGTGTTTTCTATGGGGTCCTTCCTTTAAGCAGGACTAGCCAATGAGCCCTAAAAAGCGGCAATTCCTAAACCTTACAAGCCTTGCCTTATTAAGTAGGAAGAACTGCAGAGGGGATGAATTATGGGGTATTAATTTTCACCTAGTGTGTTGTTAATGCAGCCAGGAATGGATTAATGCTCCATTATTCATGCACCAGGATCTCCCTTTTATGTTTATTAACATGTTAATGATCAAGCAGATTAGTCTTAGCACGACACGCACATCCTTCATTGTTTGAGGAAGCTCTAGCCAGACAATCCTAAGGAAGGGCAGTACATTAATGGCACACTCATTAAGGGCATATATGCTGCATTACAGCCAATGCTACAGATTATAGACAATCACTCTGTTTCATCTGCCTATTTATAAATACCTGTACATGGTTAACATGATAATCCATCCACATAAACTGGGCCCAGTACTAGTCTACAATCTTTTCCAAACCAGAACCATCTCAGGACGGCAGCCCCATCTCACCAGACCCCCTTTCGAGCCAGCCAGCCAGCCCCATTTAGCAATCTGGGAAGGGCAAGTCTTCATGATAACCCACGTTCAGATGCTAGGACATGGGTATACACTTCTGGAGTGCTAGGGTCCCTAGTGAATGCTTCTGCAGCTCATTCCGTTCCCACAACTTCCCAACAGCCCTGAGCCACCCTGGTTCATTAACCACTGGTGTAGCTACATCAGGGCAAACTCCCAGCATATACCTGGTTTATACAGTGCATTGGTGTAAATCATGCCTACATCAGGGATTTGCCCCGGTGTGAAGCTGCACCTTAGGCTGAAGTCCTAGCATAGCCTAGGGTCACATTCCAAAGATCAAATTGTCCCTTCCCCCATCTTCTCTCTCTCTCTCTCTCTCTCTCTCACGTTCTGCAGTCATTCCCACCAATTCCAGTCATGCCTGCGAGGGATCACAACTGTCCAGTGCACTGTCCTCCTTCCCTCCCAAGGAAGCACCCCATTGCTTAATGCCAAGAACAGAACTCTGACCCAAGGTACGGAGATCCCCAGCATCCTGTGATGGTTGTGTTGGATCGGATCACCGCTCTGCATTACAGCTACAAACGGCTCCCTTTGCATTGCTTAGCGAGAGAGGGAGTTACACACCAAACCAGACTCCGACCTCCCTCTGCTGTCCACACCTCAAACCCCATTCAGGGGACCTCTCTAGCAAGTCTGTACCTCACTTTTAACCTACCTTTCCAACCCCTAGCTCCCCAAAACGGCCCCACAGAGATGGAACCACCACACCCGGCTACATCAGGTAGCATCACAACACAAACCTAGTCAGTTTCAAATGCCACCGTGGCCTTCCATGCAGTCTGCCAGGAGACAATACTCACAGAAGATAAGTTAATATATTCCTCTCACACGATCTCTCTGCCACCACATG